TTGGAAGTAAATTGATTCTCCTAACATTGGTAATGAAAACTGTCATTTCCGTTGACAACTTTGAGGAGTTGTATAAACTAGTAAAGTGAAATTACACCGGCTTTCGGATTTGTTCGCTGCCTTTTTTTGCTCTAACCCTCATTTTGGGCCCCTGCGGACTCAGCTGAGAGGAGGTGAGGCCACGACAACTAATGCAAGGCTAAGGTGATTAGAAAAGTTGAGAGTAGCATCTAGTTTCAGAAGAATTTCTGGACTTAGAAGATGCCTAAACGACCCTCCTAATTATACCACGATGAGGGGACGACCACAACATAATTTCTGCCCATTTTACCTCCGATAGGAATGAACATGAGTGCTAGGAATCCTGTCGCAATTCTTAGTAATTTGGAGACTAATCAGTTTAAATCTTTACTTCCATCTATGCCGATGAGGAGCGAGAGAAGAAAATGTAAGGATCTATTCATTTGTGGGTGCTGAACAATCTTTTCTAGAACTTCGCTGATTGGCTAGTGTAGTTCAGCATATCTAATGCACGACGGGGTTTACAGCATTTTGGTGTGGTATCTTATTCTATAAAAGAACGCCAACGTCCGCAAAAAGCGCCTAATGAAACAATTTTTTAAATCTCACATTTTTTTGCAAAAACTGGATGAAATTGACAGAACAACCATCGACATTGAAGAAAAGTTGTCGTAGATAACATCTAAACATTCGTTATCAAGTTGTGAAACTATAGTAACCAAGAGACACAAATTGTCACTGATTTCTATCAATATTATGGATTCTGAAGGGATATAATCTTAAACTTCAAAACAATGGAAAGGAGGACACCTTTAATAGGGTAAGTCAGCATTGGACAATGAAATAACTGAAGGAAATCTACTTTCCAAAATGAAGGCATTCGGTTGTACGGCCTCGAGTCGTAAGGAACTTGCATTTTACCACTGACCATTTGTACAATAGAGGGAGTACATGATTGCCTTGAAGATGCCTCTTAGAATGCCCTCTCGTAGCCCTAGAGGTGGGGGAGGGGGGGGGGTATTTTGCTCTTCACGCTACTGGTATAGGGAAATAAAGTGCCATCGCCTACGAAGCAAGGAACAACCGTGTAAACCACTTAGTAACTCTAACCATTTTGGCCCTAATTAAGCTTTGCCTAATATAGTAAATCCTTTGTTAGTTCCTTCGAACCAGTAAATTGTAGCGATGTATCTGATTTTGACAGTGATTTGTGGTATAAGTATCGGACTGAACCAGAAATTGCACTGTTGGATATAAAAACACCCAGATATCAGAAATCCACCTTATAAAGTTAGGGTTACTATATTAAGAAATGATACAGATATTTGAAGAGTGATCTGTGATAAAGGACCATTAATCATTTAGTACTGCTATAAACTGCGATTTCTATGGCCGCTGCCTGGAGCTCGTTCAGCTTCCGGGTGAATAATCAGCAGACAAGACTTCGGACTAGGTGCCTTTATTGCCAGTGTGATGGGCAGGCAGAGGGGTTACGATCACCGTGTACGCTCCTGGTGGCCAGAGTGTGAAGAATGAATGACTCTGAGACTATGGGTCTTGGTGGTTTCAGCTACACATGCTTATAATAGCTGATTAAGCCCGGCCTTTGGGTGATTATTAATATACTTGGGGCACAACCATGCTTGATATAAGTCAATCAGGAGGGGGTGAGTGAGACCAGGAATCTCTAGAATGCATGGAGAACAGCTGAACCAGAACTTTTTCTGGGCTTGTAGACACCTCCAGGGTGCTCAGCTCTACAAATATGGCCGTCATTAAATATACATACCAGTAGCTTTGGAATTTTTGCATCTTTTCTGTTATACTATAATAAAGAAAATACATGGTCTTGCCAAAAGTTATTAGGCAAATTTATCCTTGTGCACTGCATATCGGCGGTAAATACTTCTCAGAAGGCACATTACTACAAATTAAGCCAGCGATTCGCATCACATTTGCTAAAAAATATAAGGCAACTCTAACATTCCTTCACATTTCATGCCATACGGGAGGGAAAAGTTCGTGCGCATTTTGTATGGAAAATGCCATACTGATTCCGATGAGGCCTATTGGCGTAAAACCAGCAGTGGGTGGATTTCCACCGAGTCCAGTGAGAGCTTAGGATACCCCATACGCCAACTCAAATCTCTCCAACTTTCCGATAAACTGCGATCCAACCATAAGCTACCTACTTTTATCCTTTCATTCCCACAACTTTGCTATCATGACGGATTACAAAAGTGTGTATCCCAGCCCTTCGCTTTGGGGATAGGTCTTCTATGTACTCGACTTGTGCTCACGTTCTCATGACAGTCATTCCTCCTTCAATGCACGCTCGCTCCAGCGCCCTTCAACAGCTGACAGCCTCGTCCAGAGCTTAGCCTTCGCCGACACAATACTTATCGGTCCATGACAGACGCAGAGTAGACGATTAATTCACCACGCGTGAACGCACGTGAGAGCATGCTCCTACATGCCATTATCTTAGAAACATTCTAAAATGTTGAAATTAATTTCTACTGTTGTATTGGTGACTATTTGTGACAACACTAATTCAGCACACTTTTTACTGCCCAAGCCAAAATGTATGACTCATCTGTTGTAGCAAGAATAGAATGGCGGTTTAGCCTGAAAAGGTGGAATAGCTTCCCTTCACGACACCAGGGCGTACAGGGTCACCATAACACCCATCGGTGTGAGCCTAAGTAGTAAATAAGCGATGTGAGTACTTTACAAGTACAAGGTACTTTTATAGAGCCTCTGAGCAGTTAGATAAAGTAACATGGGCTGATAATCCTGGTCAATTGATGCAATATCCTCATAAACATTAAACAATGGGTAAATGTGCATAACCACCTCTTAGCCCCCATATTCTGACCTAATCTGAACTACCACAAACGAACGAAAAAGCTTTTCGCCACTTCTAATCAGTTCAAATCTCGGTGAAGTAATAAAAGTGTCTTCCTGTACATTGTTAATGTAATATCAGTTATTATGTTGAGAATTTTGTTTTTAAGAAATTGCTTCCATTAGAGCAGACTCCATCAATATGTCTATAATTGAAGATTTTGCCTAATTCCAAGAAGTGCCTAGATTATAAAAATGTACAAAGGTGGTAAAGCATATGTAAGGCTCCGGGATATGTGATAGGCAGCGATTCAAATCACTGAGGTTGATGTGCAGGTGAAAATTCATTGCCTCAAAGAGAGGAGACACCCGGAATTCTACTGTAAGTGAGATATCCAGTCTTTGAAGATGCTCAAAGGATGCGTTTAAATGTTCGCGTAAGACTTTATATCTTATCATGATACCAGAAAGGACTGCTATTGAGAGCAATTGTTTATTGTTAAGCCTTGGACAAGCGATTGCAGAAATTGTTTTCAAGGGTAACGAATTCTAAGCTGTATTTAAAGCAAAATAACCAGATTCTCGCTTCGATCTGAATCACCGTTTAAATGAAGTGCTTAAATGTCACAGGCATTCATATTGTGGAGGGCAATTTTCAAATTTAATGCAATTTGAACTAAAACCATACAAGCTGATAGAAACTCACCAAAGGCACTTTACATATCCCTATTTGCAAATTTGGGTTATTGTACTGTGAATGTGAACGCAGCGATAAGGTGGCTTAATCTCATTATGATGGAGGTACTGCCATACTCCATCTTTTGTTTTGCCACTGAAGGTCTTGACGAAATCTGCGTCTTAGTGATAAAGGCATGTGAATGCAAAGTGGGGGAAGATTTTGTTTACTGCTTCAAGGTGCAAAGGTATCAAGTGTGAACGAGGGGGGCAAGGTCTCGGGACTGCGAGGTCATGATACCTAGCACTTTAATGACATGCTAGTCTACAAGCTTTTATTGCCGTATTTGGGATTTCCCTCCATTTGATGCTACGATTTTATGGTCTTTCGTGACCCGCATTTCCTAAATTTGTGTGGCTGTAACGAGGCTTTGCTATGCAATGCATTTTCTTTCCCCCAGGATGTTGGAACAATAAGGTTAGAAAGATACGTAGGAGACACTTTCTTAATATCTTCATTATCCATAATCCATGATTACCCTTTATCTGCAAAGTAACCTTTGCTTGCCCCATTAAAAATAAAACAAGCAAAAAAGGAAGATTAAAGCCAACAATAGCATTTATCGTGACACATAGTAGTAATGATCTCAAACAACCCATTTTCACTTTTTTGCAGGGTTTTCCGAATACGACGATTTTATAAACGTAACACCTTGGCCAATATCTAATATTAGAAAATTCTGTTCGTAATAAACAGAATACCGCGGGTGAATTATCATTAAATGGACGTATTCACCACAAAGAAAATCGAAAGTGAGCCGGATGATTGTTGCTATTGGCCTTCTGTCCACAATACTCCTACGCGGTGCCAATTTTTACTTATCGAGTTAGTACCCATTTGTGTGGCATTCATTGTTTCCAAAACTGAGTTATACCGCTAGTAATGTACTATTACGCCCTTGGTCATTTTATGCGGCAATTTACTTCCCTTTTTCCTCTGTGTCCTCAAAAATCAGGATCCCAGTCATCTAATTCTGTGTTCAAATTTTGTAAAACTATTTGGTTTCAATTACTAAGTTCATCTCAAAGATGTTCTAGCCTTTGGTTGGGCTCGGCACCTCGGCACAGGGATAAAAGAGACCCATTTCGCAAAAAATAATCTTCAGACTGATCTTTTGCAATTTTCCCGACTACATATTCACACAGTGGAAATAACCACAACTTACTTCATACAGAGAGATGTCATACGTTTTGACGGCTCCATTAAGAAATTACTGGATCAAAATAAATATGGAAGCTATACAGCAGAGGTGGATAATGAAGTGATTCAAAATACTCGAGTTATAACGCACAAAGTGGTGAACCTCCAAAATTGATGCAGAAGGAGAAAACAAGCTTGCGTTTTGACAATGCATAATATTTTTGCTAAAAATAAGCACCCAATTAGGTGTAACAAACTACTTTTTTCGGTGTTCCTGCCTCCGCTTTGACCAGTCGGGAATCAGAGACGCAAAGGCAATTCGAAACTGTTTGGACATGACAAAGTAGATAACGAAATTGCATGGATACGAGAAGACAATTAGAAGATTGCAAACTTCACGCACCTAAAAATAAAAAGGTTAGTTCAGATCTTCATTCAAGAGCACAAAAAGGATTTCTTACTCGGTCTACATATCTACAACATAACAACTTTCATGAATTCGAAAGAAGAATTGCATGACCTTAGCGACTGAGGTGAAGACGCTTTGCTCGGTGTATTTTAAAGCCAATACTCACCGTCATCAAATCCAACTTATAAATGAAAATGTACATCCTTTTACTATTAACGGAGGGATAAGATTATGCATTAAGTGTGGGAGCTATTTTCTCCTCTACCTTGAACCACTTCACTCCGTACTACAGGTTCGTTTTCAAGCCTATCACAATAAGGATGTTCAACAATGCCCCGATTTAAATTGTAATTCCTTTAACTCTCAAAATACTTGATTCAACTTCCATATTGCCAGTGCTTCCTCCGATCTTCAGACTGCTAAGCACTGAAACAGTGACTTTGTTGATGACTGCAAGATTTCACCTATTTCAGCAAAGTTCCGAACAGTCTCGCTTAAAAACCTCTGCAACCTTATTAAAATACAAATATTTCTTTTGAATTGATCTTCTGAAAACATGCAAAAGTTCCACTATTTACATTATTCAAAAATCGTTAAATTTGCTACACATTTCGTAATTTCTTCGTTAGTAGCACTAAATACTTAGATATACGTTACCAATAAAGAGCAATAACATAGAATTTTGGTAAAAATCGCAGCTATAAGTAAGCAGAATGTGGATAAAAATACTAAGGTTACTGCATTTTATTCAGTGGCGTTGCATTAAAACACCACAAGTATCATAATTAAAATATCCATGTGCGTTTTGACTCACCTCTGCAAAGAAAGGCGGCGGTGTGGCTCGGAATGCGAGCAGAAGACTATACATGACAACGAGGACAGTGGTGGGGATCTCCACAACTAGAAATAGCAAGAGGACCACCAGCATTATTCTTGACGTTTTGTAGGCATCTCCATTACTGGCTTTTTGCCTTCTAGTGCGGTCCCGAGCCTTATTCTCCCTCGACTCGGTGGGTAAGTCTTTCGACCTTACCTTATCAGCCAGAATTTTTATTTCGTTTCGCTTCCTTAGCAGTTCGTTCCTCTTTCTGGCGATGTCCCTTAAAGCTGCCATCATGTTAGCAGTGAGTATACACAAAAGAAGGCAGGGGGCAATATGAACTGTAAAAGCACGGAGCAGTAAGATGGCAAATTGGATGGGAGCCTTTAGGGGAGTGCATTTGAACAGCTTCGCATGAACTTTGGTTATGATCCCGAGGCTATCGGTGCATACTACTGCACCAGTGTTGAATGTGGTCAGAAAGTTGTTGACGTTGTAAAGTAAGGCTAAAATGACGACAATGACCACACTTGTTGAAACTCCTCGATACCGACAAATCGCATATTTACGAACGGAGAGAGGTTTCACAACGTAAATAAACCTTTGTATGGCCAAAAGAACTGTTAGCCATATAGAAATTGTGTGGAATAGCGTAGGAAGCACGACAGTGCAATAGTAGGTGACGAAAGCCTTGCCTATTGTGAGATTCTTGTCAAAGTAGTCAGTTAGGAAGGCAGCAAATATAGGCAGGGGAAGTAGCCCAGTAAAGAGATCTGTCAAGGATATTACGAGGAGGAGAAAGTTGGTGGGCGTTTGCATGGTCGGTCGGTTAAGTGTGATGCAAAGGAGGGTGTTAATTATGATTGTGAGTGCGAGGGAGAAGGGGAGGATGCATGTCTGTACAAGGTGCGTGAAGGGTCGGTCTCGGGAGGAGAGTCTGCGGAGCCAGTCGCAGTTGTCGGGCGCAGGTGTGAGGTGGGCTAAGGGCACGAAACCGCCATTTATGGCACTGGGCTTCGCCAGCCCAAGGGACGAATTTTCGCTGGGCAGGAGGATGTACTTCAGCTCATCGGAGATTGGCAGTTCCAAACTTAACAGGACCTTAATGGGACAAATTTGAACAGTTTGCTCTTCCATTTGCAATAGAGCCACTTAACATAATACCGAGATGGGCTCTTCTTTAACCAAAATGAAGACAGGAATCATTAAAGCTGTTTGAGGTGATTGCGTCAAGGGACCGAAACATGTTCCGTTTTTCGTCTGGTAATATCGGAATATAAAATACAAATGTAGGACTTTACGCAGAATGCTTTCTGCTCCCATCCCGTAGTTAAGACTACGGATGAATATACATTAAATTGCAGTTTTCCACCAATTTTTTGAACGCATATTTACTGCATACAAAAAGAAGTAGCATTACAGTTTACCAGAAAATCAAGTGAATTTCCGTAAGTTAAGTGAATGAAGGAAGCAGTTTGATTCAATTATTCAGCGGAAAGTATCGCTGCATTTAAGGCTGCCGGCTCAGTTTACTAAATCCAATTTTGCCTACTTTGAAATTTTTCGATAAATATATTGAATAAGGAGTGTTTTGTTCTTCTTCCAATAAAATAATTTACATAGATATGCGCTTTTGCGTATTTCTTGACGTAAGAAATGGGCATACAGTTTGAGGACTCAGCGGAGCAAGCACAGACTTGACACATGGACAGTACATGTTTAAAACTTCCGAAAACGTGTAAACAAAATGCCCTAAGCAAATGTCTCTAAAATAGTTCCTTTTTTATATTGCGCATTAACTAAACTGATTCGGCAAACTCAATGGATTCTTCATGAGTTTAGCATACTTAGACCACTCCCAAGTGTTTTCATCAAAATTCGTCCACAAACACTCCAAACCTGATAAAGTGCCACCCACTTAAGATCACTTCCCTTTTCTTCAACGGGTTTTTTATCCCTCCATTAAGCTGCGTTTTTTAAGTAGCTGGTCATGTAAGAGCATTTGTACCTTTGACAAATCCAATAAATCGGAAGGCCATTGAAAGTGTTAAAAAAGTCATAACACATCCACTTTTTTGAGCATTGCAATTGAATCACATATTCTGAGCATAACTTTCCAAGTAATTTTACTCACTCTTCCAAAGCTAAAATTTACAAATAAATCCCAAATTAAGTAGTAACTGGCCTTATTGGTGGTTCTGAAATAGAATTGAGTACCACTCTCTTCTATCAAGGCAAAAAATGTGCGTTTTTTATTGATAGAAAAATAGTTAAATTGATGTAGGAGTGAATCATCGATGCATTTCATGCTTTATAAAAATAATATTCGTTGTTACCGTTTGCATTTGAAGCAATCTGGTGCATTAAATGCGGCAGCTGGAAAAGAAATTGACGGAGGTATTTGAGCATGTTCCACGAAATGCACCAGTTTTCGCATACTATCATAGAAGGACCTTCGATGGAGCTATAATCTATTCTTTACACCCAGTAATTTGAAAAGTACCGGCTCATTTCGATTTGAAGTTTACTGGTTACTTCAACTTTGTGGTTGTAGTGTCGCAATGCAAGAATGTCGCAGTTTAACTCTTAACGAATTATTCCATTTATACAAGCATGGCCCAAAAAAGTGGTTGATAAAAAGAAGCGTGCGATTGCTTTCTTTACTCAGGAAAAACGACCGATTTATTAATGTGATCCGACTTCTATAAAATACAACATTGCCACTGCATTAATATTGCCTGCTTATCTACCCATGTATGCTGGCTTTATTTTTCGCAACCCTACATAAAGTGCATCTCATATTAAACTTAACGTCAGCACAGGCCTCCATTATCTGTGCATAATGTGTAAAACTACAAATAAAAGTAGTTTGGAACATGACAGAACAGAACTAGAAAGGGATACAATGAAATATCCAATAATACGGCAGTCAAAAAAATTGAACAAACAAACCTCACTATCAAGAAACATGGAGTTGGATTCATTTCCAAGGCATAACCTGAATGGATCACTCATCTGATCCTGGTTCCGAAACGTTACAACGTTTTGTTTCTGATGTTCTGTGAGCCTCAATTCTTAAGCCATCTATTTCCTGTATTCGTTGCCTTCTTTTGATTGGCGGCTGACTGACCAATCAATGAAGTGGACTTTACTGCTGCCACATTTACGATACAAGACAAACTAAATTTGTCGACGAACAATAGTGCATTACTGGTAAAGTGAGTACTTGAGGGAAAGAAATAAACAGTCAAAGTAATGATTAATAGATCACATAGATTAATTGGGAGTTTACATGAAAAATGGACCTTCTGTTGTCGTAGGTTCAAAGGGAATCTCACGAAAGATCTGGCCTATGGCTAGCTCAGTAGAACACATTTCACTTTGATAAGCAATTTTTCCCTAGCAAAGATTCTTTTGTGATGGAATTTGCCTCTGTTAAGCACAAAATGACTATAGATGTGAATACTGGTAAGAAGGCTTTCTACCGAGCAGCATGCGCCCTAGTCCGCATTTAAGGGCCAGTAATATTCGCTAGTTTTTGCCCAAAGAAATAAAAGGAAATAGGAGCTAGCTTTAGTAGGGTACGCATCTACTAATTACAAAGTCGTCAACGTGTGAGGCACTCCTATCGGATTGGGCACAGTTGAAATTCTCCACAAAATTGAATTGCCGGCATTTTCCACGTACAAAGAAGATTCGCGCATTTACCGTCAGTGAGAAATGATGTGGATGATAAGGGCTCCTTGTGGAGGCGAAAATTCCTGCATGGCACGGGGCTTAGGATGCACCCTTGTATTTGTCTCTTCCCAATAAGTGGACTCATTCAATGTACTCTACCTTTCTTAACTATTTTAAACAGATAGCTTTCCACCGTTTAATAGTCGAACAAAAGCGAGGAAGCAATTGTGTTTTGGGAAACGAATGCAGTACGAGGATGGTATTGCGTGACTTCAATGGTTACTGCTTCCAAATGTTTTCATTCAAACCTACGAACGCAGTATAAATCCTTTGGAATCACGGAGACTTGGGGCACCATCAATGCTTCAGAACAATAAATCCTATAATAGAAAAGCCTATGCACTGCGTTACTTTGGCCGATGGTAAGTTTGCCCTGATGACAGGCGTTTGGATGCCTGCCTTCGCATTCATGTTGTTTTAATATATAAAGTCTCCTCATTAAGTAGTTTTCACCAATCACCACTAACAATTGTGCTGCGGCAGGTTTAAAAGGTTTTAATGCAATTGTAAGGGGTAAACACATCAATAAATTGGGTTGGTTTATAAGATATGACTACCATTTGTAAAGCTGTGACCACATAATGATCCATTCACTTAAGAATTGGACAAAAAGATTTTGTCATTATTTTCTAAATGCTCCATCTAACTTTTACACACTGTCGTCAAATGGATTCATCAGAGGAGAAAAGGTGTTCATCAGATAAGAGGGAGAGATGTCAAAGTTTCTTTTGTCTGTGCGTAAATGGTTTGTAAGGCAAAATTATAAAGTCTACGCTTCATTTAGTCAAGGCAACGTGATGCAGCATACGTTATTTTAAATTAAAATAAGGCTGTTATTTTCATGTGCGTGTTTTCTTTAATTTCAGGAAAGTGCTAGTGTCCCAGTACCAGTGTACTGGTAAATACATTGTCGTCCTACCCTGATTAACTAATGGTAACATTGGCATTAAAGTTTAGATTTCCCCTTTGTACCACTGACAGTCGCATCTTCTGACCTGAATTGATGCGAAAACACCACCATCGTCACCGGGCTCCAAAAGTATACGATATATTAAATTTACGGTCTCTTTTTACGTCATATATTTGTAGGCGTGAGTCGTAATTTACTTATCAAAGAGGAACATTTCTAACATCGTTTTTCATCCGACTCTCAGTCAAAACAGGCAATGAATGGAGAATGAAATGGAAGGAAATATTTGTGAATTACGTGATCAAGGCGTTCACCGGTCAATGGGATGACATTTCCATACAAATTGGGGATAAATATTATAAATCAGGTTAAGCACTTTCGTCGATGCTTTGAATGCTTGGCCCAATGCAAATTCTGCCAGAACTGGGGTCCGATAGAGCTACAAATGACACCTAAAACACCAAAAAATAGTTGGAATTCATAATTAGCCACAAAACTGCCGTACTATGGCACTTCCACCTTCGACATTTTGAAGAAGTGAACTACTAACGCATTTGTCAGTATTCCCTGTGTCTTTCCTATAGGAATAGAATAGATAAAACTCATTTCGACACTCCGTCATGATTGCACTGTTAAATTTACCGCATGCTCGGGATAAGAGCTAACAGTCACTCCCAACTCACCGGCATGACTTATCAGTAAAGGTGAAGGCACTATTCTAGGGTAATAAATGTACTCATAGAATAACATTAACATTAAATTACCTCTCAATGCCTCATAAACAATCTGCATAGAAACAAAAATGTGCCGTTCTGATTCAGCGAATGTGGCAGCCTTTGTGTGGGGGAGTCACATGCACAGCTCCTATTAGCAAATGCTTAAAAACGAATCACAAACTCACGCACATATAAGACCTTATGCAGGAGTAAGAGGTTCAGATGAAGTTCCTGCTGACCAAATGAAGGAAGGTTTACACACCGTGTTAATATAGGAGTGGGGCTGCCGATGTTTCACCCTTTCCCCCAATCATTTTGGCTCCCCGTCGGTCATATCCGTGCGCGCAGCTTCCAGTACTTCATGTTGGCTAACTTTGTCAGAAAATATAATTTCAGGGGTGTTTTGATGATTATTATGGCATCAACATGTCAGTCAAATAATCCGTTCTTTGCTCTAGGAGCTTTGTATTCATTCTGTCATCATATTTCGCGCGCCGTGGTCATCTGTTAACGTAGCCTATTCCTATAAACGTGCCGATCATCACAATGCAATTCGTACGGATATGTAAAACGGTGAAAGTGAAAACACACAAATGAAACCCCGTGCTCCGAAAAATCGTAAGACGCTAGATTTTCTTGTGAAACACCATCGATCTACTATGCCACAATCCTTTCTGCTGACATTACCATAGGTGGTAATCACGCATAAACCACTTGCAAGGTTCGTCCAACACTTTGGCATTACAAATCTGAGTTTGAAACGAGTGTAATTTTTCAGTGAATTTGTCCAAGCACCAGTGGTTCACGTGCCTGATTCCAGCTTATTACTTGCGAATGCTCTGATGCTACCTGCCCACCTAAAGTGAACTGGTTATCAAAGATTGCGTACTTTTTGACACCTTATAAGGTTTCAAGGATACCGCTTGGCGTAATTCTCGAGTACCTGTTATCTATTATTCTAATAGTCATAGCGAAAGTAAGAAGCCCATCGCTTTTAATACTCAAATTTCCAGTGGAGTGGTGGTTTAAACATCCATAAAAACATGAAATTTCTTCTATTTACACAACGATCATCAGATGTCAATAGTAGCCGAAATCTACTTGTACGTCTTCAAATTTGACATTCACCGTAGGACCCTTCAGGCTGCTGATCGGTTCGAAGAATTTGCTCCAATTTCTAAGTATTTGATGAAAATGCGGTACTTAGAGAACAACAACATTAATTTATCCAAGTGAGGTAGCTAAGTCGATGCCAATGTGGATCAAAATATACCTGTCTCGTTATTACTGTAATGTCCCAGTTGCTGAAAGAGCGGTCGAAATATTCAAAATCCAAGGGGCACACCGAATTCAATCAAATGCATTTGCTTGAATTGGGTTTATTGCTCCAATGTTTTCGCACTTATTCAAGTTATACGTTACAGACAGCTTCATCCATACATTACTTCCTCTCCCATTTGAGTGTTCCAAGTATAATACTCTCAGAGCTTATTCAAATAAATCGCCTTCATTATAGGGTATATTTTCGCGTAAAAGGGTAGTGATTTGTTTAAAGCAGATGAAACTTCAATCCATTTCCGTTGCCGCGAGCAGTTTCAAAGAGAGCGCAAGACTTTGAAAAGATGACGGGAACGATATCACCACGAACCACGAGCCCAACATTGAACGATAAAAGGAGCTAACGTTTCTTTTAATTCACCAAACAACCCTCTAAAGCTTCAGTTGATTCAGTCGTTTTACTAAATGGTCATCACTAAAACGGAGTGCCAGGATCATAAAATTCAGATTTGTCGACTTGTTGTGCAGGAGATGCAATAAAGTTGCGTTCAGTCAAGCGTCAGCGATTTGAAGAAAAAATTCTACTGGAAGTTATCGAAAAGTCCAAATTTATAAAGCCTGATTAATACTTGTACGTATTTTACGCTCATAAGAAACGAATCTATTTTCTAGTTTTTAAGTGCAACTGTTGTCGAATCCCGGAATCATGTTACTGAATCCCTACGGACGTATAACTCAGGAACCAAATATTAAGGCAATAAATTATTGCAGAGCTTTGACCTTCCAAGATAAATTTAATAAGGAGTAAAACCTCGTGCATTAAACCATCTTAGAACGTCGTGCTAGTGCTTTAGAAACTTAAGTTCATTGCATATCTTTTCAAAATATATCACTGAAACTACTAAGCAGTGAAAGTATAGTCAGTGTCCTGGAAAATTTCAGTCACTGATGGCGTTTTCAACATTCCAGTTGTCCCAATCCGTTCCAATTTTTAAAATCCATGGAGTGTGCATTTGCAACACCTTAACGAGTCATAACCCGTTGTTTTTGCAAAAATCAGACGAAATCTGACTACCAAATTAGTTAAATGTAGTGTTTACTCATATTTTAATCCATTTTCAAGTTGGCCGACTCGTTTTTATGAAGTAATTACCATTACATAATCCCACACCAAAGTTCCATCATCTAATTATTCTTTTGCATTACAAATAAGTCGACCGTTAGTATTTGAAGCGGAATAGTTTTTTTCGTTGAGATCCAAATACTTTATTGCGTACGTTTCATTCGAAGCAGAGACTTCATAAAACGAAATGGTGCCCTCATTTTTACTTTTTTTCGACCAATGTCCTCTGAAAAGAGAAGAAAAACTCTCTAAGTCTTGACAGCAAAGTCGTGCATAACTTACATTTAAGTCAGCATTTGAAATTCCGATTTTTGTTTCCAAATTTGGTGAACAATTGAACTTCATCTGCTTATAATACTTGGATGCATCGTTTCTGTCAAGCAGTTGAGATATTCATATGCATTAAACACAAAAAAACTTCTTCTGATGTACCTAAAGAAATTCATCAAAATCACGATCTCTAGAAGCTTTCAAGTGAGTACAGAGACTAATATTTCAGTTAACCTAAAACCGATTTTATTAAATATTTTATGCGATTTAATTCTGAACTGGCTTGAAGCGTGAAACTCTTTGCCTCCTTTTGGCGACAGATTATCTCAATTAAAGTGTCTTGCATTACCAAATGAATGAGAGTTAAAAATTCCAAAATTTCATCAAAGAACGCAGCACACGATTCCATTCGCTTTCAACGAAACATGGCTACATCGCTACAACACTGAATTATGAATCGACTTCAGCGGTCATTAACGCCCATTCGCATTGTCAGCGATTCGTCGTCGAAATTTACCTTCGCTAACACTCTTCAAGAACGATTAACTACATCAACCCTCCGTCATTTGCAACCAAAATGCCTTAGCACAACTATTTTGACTTGGGTCTTCGATTATGGGCGCTAACGCATGTGGATGGGGGCGTCTAAACTCTTCACGTACTGGTCAAGAGAAATCTTGAGTAAATATTATGCTCTGAGTAAATGTACGTGGTCACTGTTACCGTAGAGAACTTTCCTTAGAATGGACCACAAGTTGCAAATAACTTGCTTACGCCGTTTGACGTTCTCGTAGGATAGCTAATAGCAAACGGGAGCACTTCAATCCCTCCTCCCAAGATCCAAGCAAAAAAGCAATAGACTACTAGACTTCAAGTGTGCCCATGCATACACCCGGGTTTAGATTCCCAAAGCGTAATCGGCTTCTCACCTCCGTGCCCGCTCCACATCCTCCAACCGCCCTACTCTTTTCTCAGCCCCTACATTCCCATTTATGATCCTTGTAAGGTGCTCCAAACGGAGTGCCAATTGTTAAAATCCTCGTTTTTTATGACCTTCACACAATTATTCCATTAACCGAGAATTTTGGAAATGGCGACACGCCCTGTGTGACATTTTGAAATGCGCAAATAACCTGCACTAAGAAGGATTTTCACGAGTAATTTCTAACACCTACTACTCTTATTTCAATAGAAAGGTAAAAAAGATGCGAAGCATCCGGTGACTTAAAACAGTCAATTTATTTAAAGTCACAAACACAATATATGCATGTAACAACAACAGGGGGACGCTAATCGTATGGCCGTGATCGGGGAGACATTACGTCCAAAGTGCGTGCGTGAATGCGGGGAGAAAGGGCGGAGGGGATGTATAAAACCACGAAAGGAGAGAAGGGGTAGTGCTGGCGCATTAAAACGAAGTCGTTACCAGAACTGATTGGCGGTAATAGCAGTAGTGATGAAATGTTGCTGCGGCTGCTGCTAACGTCAATTGAGATAGTCAGAAGAAAGAGGAGCGCAATGGATGATGTAGAGGAAATAAGGAGAGAAGGTGATTCAAGAAGTCGATGGAGTAATTGCAATAAATGGCGAATTTACACGGTGCGAGAATTAACCAAGAGAGAGGAAAGAGAAAGGGAAAAAAGCATGCAAAAGGGCGTGAAGGCGCAACTACACTGCAAGAAGCTGAGACAAAAGTATCACTTTTTAGCTGACAGAGGTGCACGGAGTCGAGGGAGAGCCCATCTCTTGCAAGACCCGGTCAAGCCACTTGAGCGGCTCGTTCAGGTGAAGCTCAATCCAACAGGGTGTGCTGGTTATAGTTTGACGACTGCAAAGAAAGACCTCGAGTAGGGTAGCTAAAACCAGTCCACCTGCTCTCACCTAAGCAGCCATAAACATCACAAATGGAAGGCACAAATCTGCTATGAAAATTTCCCTGACTGTAAAGCCAACGAACTAAGGCAATACCTTGGACGATGCTCAAAGGGCCTGCCCTTGCATTTTGTAGACAACAATTTTCCACCGGAAGTTGAAGGAAAAAAGATAAATAAAATGACTTATCTTGAAATTACTAATGATTATTACGGGTCGAAAACGAAGACAATTTGATGGCAAATTATAGCGTCATATGAACATCTTAAATTCAAAAAAAATCTTTTGAAAGTTTCCATAGATCACATTTTATTACGATTCCCTGACAATGTTAGAGCAAAGTTAAGTCCCAGGTATTGGGTTTGATTGGATTTCGTTGGAATGCCAACAAAAATGCAATTTTCTCTCGTTCCCGAAAATGCGAATTTTAGCAATCTGGAAGCAGGGTGAATGTGATATTTGAAAAATGAGTAAATTGTAGTTCGAAATGTGTACGGCAACACATAACAAAAATGTAATTTTTTTTGGATTAACACAAAGATTCAGAAAAATGCACCCCATGACAAAGGGGTTTAACTTTGAGGGCTCTGAAGGAATTACCGCAAAGGCGCCTCTATTATGCTGCAGTAATTTTTAAATAAAGGACATTTAGTATACACACATTGAGTCGGACAAACTCATTCGACCATGATCAGCGATAGTAATGGACCTAGTAAACAAATCAGCTCAATAAGCAGGAACCTAGATGGAAAAACACTTCAGCTACATGGATTTTGACTTTTAATGAGTTCAAGAACCCGAAAGAGGAATTCGTCAAGATACATTCAGAAGACCATGCTCTGCTTTAAAGCGACTTTTGGAAATGTAACAGCAAAAGTAGTTATTTTTCTTTTACCAATTCACCACAAACATTTAAAATTTGGACGTAACCATTTCAAGTAATAAATCTTGCAGTCCTTAAATTAAAGCCAGCGAGGTGTTAGAAACTAGCATTCCCCTTTTGACACATTAAAGCGGTAAAGCAAAATCCACTCCTACATAATTTTGTTTTTGACAGGAGTTGATACGTCAGCTGCTAAATCGTATGAGAGGTTCTAAGTTGACACTGTTAAGTGATTTTGGAAGTAGGGAGATCGAGTGTTTAACATATTGCTTAAAGTTTTGTATTTAAGCTGGAATTTTCACCCAAGGTGTTTGATGGAATACAGACGTGGCTATCAGCACAATAAGGCATTTAATTCCTAGGGCGAAAGGCAAAAGCTGTCGTAACTTACCGGTAATCAGCGCCCCATCCTTTCACAAAGCTGATTCGAATGAAACACATATGGGTGAGGGAGAATACGGTTTCGTAGTTTCTGGTGACTGACTGAGACAGCAATTCCGCGAATTCACGGTTATCGAAAACACGAAGATTGCAACCTAAAACCGACAGAAGGCATCGCTAGTACTAATCTTAGCAATAAATTTTTATTTAAAGATATTTTAAAAGCATGCTCATAAATAAATGGTGAATAAAACATAGAAATGGAGCTATACCAGCTAAAAAGCACATGAACACGTTTGTGACGAATCAAATGTTTTTGAAAGCATTTAGTATAGATTTATACTTTTACGACCCATAAATCTTTTCAGTAAACACGACCACAGTGCCAAACAGGATGGTGGAAAAATAAACCCATCGGCTTACGCGGAGGGACCTTGACCACGGTGGCAGGATGCCAGTTGTTAAGACGATTGCAACTGGGTGACTGGACGAAAATGGCCGCATCGCTCAGACACTCAACGAACACCTCCCCTGATATGTAAAGCAGATTGAGGCCGCGACCTGAGAATGGCAAAGAAACACTGAGATGGACACTTCAATGTCCTGACATGTGTAAAAGCATTTCAAAAATAAATTTCCAAAGACAGAAAATACAAACGCGATTGGTATTGGAATTCTTCACGTATTTGTAATTCTTCGCAACGAAGTAATGCTATCACTTATTGTTGCTTGCAAAATAAGAATGGAAGAATTTTCCTCGCCTAATTTTCCATTTGGATAAGTGCCGCAAAACAATTTCGAACGACCCGACCATGAACGCTAAGTACCTGTTCCCACGCCTCAGACTAATGTACGTGTACTTGCAGCATTAGAGGCCAAATGTGGGGACTGTGCGAAGGTGGAAACACGTAGGGTAGTGTGATTCGCGAGAAAGGGATGTGCATCTCGTCGAATATCGGCATGCGCATTTGATTATATAAGTTAGTTACAAACCGCAAATGTCAGTAGATTTTTTTACGCATAGACAATTATGCGCCGACAACGCCAACGCGATGATCCGAGGAGATTTAAACAAAAGGCACATTAGTGTAGTCACTAGGCACCACATTGAGAGCGTAACCCTGTTCATCTAACAGTAGCTTTTTTAGTGGCACATGAATCAGTTTTTGAAAGATTTAGTAGTTTAAAGAATGAAAACTTTGGGGTGCAGTATCCAAGTACTATTCCAGGCTCCGAGAGTTGAAAGAAGCGCTTTTAATAAGGGCGTTGCCCGCTTAATGGGGTGCTTTTGAAGCACAAAGCTCGGGGTACTTGAATAAAGATCTTTCGCTTTCAGCATCCGTTTTACGGAAATCCTGATCTACGTAATCCTATACTATTTATTCTACCAGGTAATAAATAATGATTGAATTAGCTTAACATATTTCCAGCTCTACCTCATGTACTGAAGTAATGGGCTGACGCAATAGGGATCTAAGACAAGTATGTTAGTGGAATTTTGCTATATTCCACCCCAAAAAAACACGATTTAGTCCAAACACAGAGGACCATTGTGAAACTCATCAATTGTCCTTCACAATGAGACCTCAAACATCCACGCGCAATACAGGGTGTCAATTGTGAATGGCTCTAAACCGAGATTGGGCGATACCTCGTCTATAGAATAAAAGCAAATCATAGCTATTAAGCATGCTCGGGGAGGAAAATAATAAGTTTGTCAGGGAAATACGACACGGGGGTGCAAGGAATGCCAAACCTAAACCATCTGGTCAAAGTAAAATTAAACAGTCGCAAGGATTTGGGACATTATCATTTAGAATAGAGGCACTGAAAAATCAAAGACCTCTAAATTACATTTACTCCTCAATCCAGCAACAACAAGGGGTACAAAGTAAAACTGAACCTAAAATTAATTCGGTTTACGAACGCATATATCTGTGCGGTGACGGTGTTGATAACATTGCTTCTCGCCACTAGCAATGTTTATATTCACAAATACTTCCACAAATTCACTAATAAAAACTAGTAAGGGGGAATCATATTTCAAAACAAATTGCTAAGTAGCTTCAAACAAGATACTTTGAAACGATACACCATTTAATCTGATGAGAAAAGTAACCGAAGTGGGAGAAATAAAGGTCAAATTAGGTATCAATGACGCGCTTATTATGAATTTGAGACACGGTGTTACGTTTCCCCTCTTTCCCTTGAGATTCCGATTAAAAAGATTAATCAAACATTCCGTCTTTATTGGAAATATGTATAAAAAACAATAGGTTATGGCACAAACAGACCCGATTATGTTAAAGACAACTTTTCTGAAAAGCGAATGAAATTTAGCTAGTTACAAGATAGACACTAGCCTCACTCTTGGCAATTTCAATGATGATTGGTGGCTATCCCCTAAGCGAGGAACAATTTGCAACAGAGCGCACCGTCTTCGATGTGATCCAGGCAGTCTGCTTACAAGGTTTTGTATTCACAGCTTATGAATGGCAATGGCGCAGTAATGTCATTAAACTATGAGTGGTATAAATAACTACTGAGTGAAAGTGTGTATCAGATCATTTACGCATCAAATCCAGTACGTTAGGTTTCATCAGCAATTAAATTTACGACGCAAACACTGCTCCGCATGGGACACAGGCATGGATTAAATGGAGATTAAGCCATTTAATTGAAATTTGCATTAGTCTCTATGCGGAGATCAAAATCGTGCCAAGATTTCAAATGCGCATAGGGTTTTGATTTGCGCCTTTAACGAGAGCTTAAGTATGTTACGTTGCTGAGAATAGGAGCAGATTTATATGAGGACTAAAAAGAAAAATACTAACATCCATGAGCACAGTCACAGTTATCACCATACTCAGGGATTAGTCACAAGCCTAATTCATAAACAGTGGACATCGATCAAAAAGGCCTTCTTGGAATATTAAAAGAGACAGTTCAATAAAAGACCACTGAAGAATATGAATGGAGTAAGCCGCAGACGTAGAAGCGCGAAAACGTACCGTTAATCAAACTATTAAATGAGTATTTTTATTTGTCGTTCAGATGATGTCTACAAACAGATGAACTTATCACCCAGGGAGTGGAAATAAAACAGTATTCTGTTATCTGATGGCTAGTTTGCACCGCGATTTCCAGAAGTACTAACAACAGAAACGAGAACCTTACCTAAGTATGTAGCATCCAATTACAAATACACGAACGAGGCCATATACTCACCTGTTTCACATGGACAATAAATAAAAATAAGCAAACGATATGAATTAAACACTTCTTACCAATGTGGCGGCGAGTCATATCAACTTGAGGTGGACGATTCACGTGACTAAGTCCGCCTAAACTGAATCTTTCTGTGCCCAAAGACGGCGCCGTAAACCCATCCACGGTGAATTTGGGTTTCGAGGCATGAAAAACGTCACCGACACGGTTGTTCAACTCGTAGTAGAAGACAGAACACCAATTCTTCAAAGAAGGCGTCAACGGTACGTTTGTGGGATGAGGAGGGACCGGGGGATTAGAATTGGGTGATTGAGTGTTCTCGACGTTGAGGTTGTTGGTCGAGTAATCGTCGCACTGTTGTTGACGCTCACATTCTCCCTCCAAGTGACTCCATCGTCCTGATGGAAAAAACGTTAAGAAGGGTTGGTCTTTGCCTATTCTTTTAAAATTCCCCAGCAAAAAGAAATCACTGCATCCTAATCAAATGGTTGTAAATATCTAAATCGCGTTAACGTATTAGTGAGGCTATTTAACTTACAAATTCCCTTATCATGTTAATCTTTTGAGAAGGGATTAAATGTAGCGCCCAGCTCCTTGGTAAATAATAATAGGTGAGGCGCCATAGTTAAGGAACCGTAGAAACAAGATGACAGACATGTTTTGGTCAAATAACTTAATAATAATGACGAATATGAGGTGTGCTTTTATGAAGTTTGATAGATTCAGGAAATCTCCAATCGAATAGCATAACAAAAGCAGCACCGAAATCAAATACCAACGCAAAACACTACTTTATGTTCTGTTGCCATTAAAATAACAATGACCCCTGGTTTGAAAAAAGTGGTTTTTAGCATTGGGTAAACCAACGATTAGGGAAAGTAGCGAGAGGGAGACTATCTACCTCTCTGAATTAACGGAACCCGTTCACTCAGCCAGTGTTAAAGAACAGAAGAGAGTGATAGGCAGATGAATAACATCCATTGTAAGGGCTTCAAACAAGGGGTTCGCTCAGTGTGAGAACACACTTAGTCCATCATAAAGATCAGCCAACTTCACCGCATGCGAATGCATGCCTGTGAGACGCTTTTGAACACGAAAAGCGTGTATACGTGAAGGAAGCCTCGATTAGGACCCAGAATACGCAGTCTGGGCACCTGGCGGCCAGTCAGTAGGGTGGTACCGCAAAATTACGTGCAGGATGTCATGGCTACGAGTGCGCGCATTATCGCATATGCGCACACACACGGTTTGCACATGCGCAAGCATGTGTGCATGCGACTCCCAAAGAGGTGATATATTGCTGTCATTGGTGCCTGCATACCTGCAAGGCGATGCAATCGACTGGAAAAGGGGGTGAAGGAATGAGGAACTGCAACTAGTGTGATTTGCGTCCGCGCGAACCCAGGCGAAGCGGTGATGGAACTAGAATGACCAAGGAACGTCGAAGAAGGGGGGAAGCCGACTTTGGATGTGTAAGTGCACACGCACCCACGAAGAAGACTACTCGTCGATCATGTGAATTGCACTTCAAACGTCACCACATCACCTCCGCTAAGATAAGTAGTCCAGCTAAGCTCTTGCCGAAATGATTTATGGATGCCACGGATCCTTTACCATGTGAAGTAACTTTGAGGAATTAAAAGTGAGATGTGAAACACCCATACATCCGGTAGTATGGGAGCAGTATTAGTAGCTAGAGGCAAAATTACTACTATTCTCTTTTAACAGGCCTAAAAGAACTAGTTTATATTAGTTAAAAGGATACACATTTACAAATAACATGAATGGAAGTAGTTCTACAGACGGTTAATGTTAGACGATTTAAATGTCGGATAAATAGCTCTCATGAGTGCTTTTGCAAATAACTCAAGTGCCGTATGACAGGGAAAAAGCAATGTGAACGAGTCAATTAACAAAACTTGCCATTGTTACTGTCCCCGACTGGCATGGCCTGTTGGCGATCGTAGGGCTGAACTAAAGGGTCCCCATAAAGTGCACCCGAATTCGGAGGCAGAAGAGCCAAACTGTCTGAGAAGGTACTACCGCTAGCCACGCTGGGCGGACTCACGAGTCGGCTGCTGTCACTTGAGGATGTATAGTCGGATGTGGTACGATGAAGAGCAATATTGGACATTATTGTTGTAACTGAACGGTTTCAGGTCGCGAAACCGAAATCCCACGAACTAGCCTAATAAATAAGGAACAGCAATTTAACGCCTTGGGCTGGCACAAGTACATTTAGACTTGGAACTAAAACACAGATAGGCATTTGCAGCTACCGTAGACTCCAACCCATAGGTCATCAAGAAATACGCGAATAAGCAAGTTCGCGAAAAGTTTTTCAAAAAAAAGCACTCCCACTAAGCAAACCTCTGCAACTATGCCCAACCCAATTTAGTTTGAGCAAGGTTTCGAAAATTGGATAGAGCTATAACGACCTATGGACTGCCGCAAAATGATATAATTATTTCATATCTCAAGAATGCACGTTCGTAGTTGGCCTTTGCCGAGAGTTGTAGGCGATTTGAATAGCTATTGATACAGTCGGGTGAACCAAGTCACCTAGTTTAGACCACGCTTTTAAAGTCAAAATGGGTCAAATATGTTAACAAACGACAATGAACGAAGAAATCTGCTCGTAAAATCCAGTAGGCGCAATACTATTTTGTGAAAGCACTTACCATCGTTATTGGCAAACTCCCATCAAAAGCCATTAAAAGTGAAAGTAACCGCAGCAGCAAACGTTTTCAACTAATTCATTTCGGGCTTTCAAATACGGAACTTCATTTCGCGGAAGTAGTTTACATTAAAGCCAGTGCACATTTAGATTATTAATGATAGCATACAAAAATGAGCCAGTCACGTCTCTAAAGCAAAGCATGGACACCAGACAAAACTTGTGGACAGCGAACAATTCACAGTATTCCAATGAAAAATGCCAACAAACAACGGACAAATATTTGAATTTTCAAAGTCGAACGAAATGCATACATACATAAAACAAAAAACAGAAATACTACAGACCTGTCATGAACTACAACCTGCATCAGCTGCATAACAGCTCAGAAAGCAGAAAGAACGGGTAAGACTATTTTTGACCCGAATGTAATGTGAGCGCTCTCAAGCACGAGAGCAGGGAGAAGCGCCGTCGTTACACAAACACCAGCCCACCGACCCTGGCGGGAGGCAGACCGTTTGAAGATCAGAGACAAACGAACGCGTACACCGTCAGAAGTGCGTACGCACCCACACGCACGTGCTCCCACAAGCGCAACGCGCAAAGCTTCAAAGAGTCTGTGAAGCGGGCACGAGCAACCAGACTACTTGCTGTGCTGCCTTTTCCGTCTGCTACGTGCGTGCGCATATAAGTAGCGGGAAAAAGCAGACAGTCCCTCTAATTCATCACCATCGCTACCGAAAGTAAGTTAATACGACGAGAGGGCACAGGAAGTCGCTGAGCCCCACCTTGATGCATTATTGATTGCTAATGGTGGTAGTAGATTTTATTAGCCAAAGTGAGGGCAAAAAAAGGACCTTTGGCTGTGTGTAGCCAGCTATCAACAGTCTCGGTGACGGTCGTAGCGATGGTGGTAGAAAAGGCAAAAACGCAGGTTGACAGGGAATTTCAGGGACAGCGATGGTAGTGGACAATGCTGCACTTCCGCTGTAGTACCCTGACTAGGCCGCATACTTGTAAATGCTGACACTGTACCATACTTCAGATCTGCGACGCATTCAATGTGCAGCGAAGCCGTCTGGAAAAACATCTTACACGGTATGAAACAATTTCCTAACTTTATTATCAGTTATAATCTAAATCGCTTGGTTTATTATAGCAAAAGATACTTTTCAGAGGATCCAGAGAGGTGTTACAAACATGTTTTGCTGATAAACCATGCAAATTTACAAAAAAAGGAACGATAAACTCAGCGACATCTGTGCTTGTAGCCCATTGGTATTAAATTTGGGTTTTTTATGTAATACAGTGCTTCTGTTAAATTCACGAACTTTGAGAGAATACCCAGAAGTTGGCTTAATAAAAAATTAAAACGTTATAAGATCATTTACATGAACAAGAAATTTGAACATTATAGTAATAGTTTGTGACCACTATCAACTTGATTTAGACTGCACTAATGCCCGTGCATAGGTTTGTCCATAAGCTCTATTGGGCGTGAATGCGACATTACAACCGATCTTTGTTATTCGACTGAAATGGGTATTATTGTGTACTAGTGATAGGCAGAAAAAGCAAGGTGCAGCGGCCCGGAAGCAGTTGCCCATTTGTAAATCAAACTTTGGAGGAGAAAATTATGTCCAGTGAGATACTACGTCAGATGCATAAAAATTACAAGGTTCCGTCCAAGCAGGGACAGTAAGCAATGATACCACTAGGCATCTGTGACCCAATAAAAAAGTGGTTATTCAGCATAATCATGTAATAAAGTTCCTATTGAACTAAAACTGACTGAATTTACGATTCCCACTAAACGCAATTTTGGAATGTAGAGATAGAAACTAACAGTCAAGGATCAAGTTAATAGCGACCGTTGGTTTAACAAAATTGCTCAATATGTAGGCCAAACAACAAAAAATTACGAAAAACTATGACTGAGCGGCCAAGTAAAAAAAGCATCAACTCTTGCAGCAAAAAAACGGGGTATTCTTCAAGAGGGTTAAGTTGATGGTACATGAGCAAACCCATCCGTACCTATGAGAGATCAGATGATCATAGACCTACTAACGAAACTGCGGAAACAACGTGACCCAGCTCGTGCCAACAGCAAATGTGTCAAGGAAAGCTGCCATATTCCCTTCTGGGTCACATGCAGCGAATAACCAATTATTGTTTAGCATTATCAATCAATCATACCCCACCAAGGAAATAAGTATTCCATACCATAAAACCTGCATCTTTTAACATTTTGAAGTACAGTCATTTTGCATTAAAATATCCTGCAAAATGGGTGTGAAATGGACAGTATGAAGGAAGTTAGCAACACCTAATTAGGTGGATAAAGCTTAATGTTAAATATCAGCATAAAAAAAACAAAAATTAAATAGGCAGGCCTTACATATCTCTAGACTATGCACGCGATCAGTGCGAACATCATTTATCTCCCTGTAAACGATACATAAAGATAGCAGGCAAAGCGATGCTATTGATGAAGGAATGAATTAGAGGCAAGAAAAAGCCAAACACTCATTACTGAAGCAAAACATGTTGCAATTTGTCAGCTTATTAAAGGAACAACCACAAAAGTTTCAAAATTCAGCACTATTTTGTAGTGAAATTTTTTGGTCTTATGATAAAATTACCACAAGTTTAGAGGAGAACATAGGGAGTAAACAGCTGAATAATTGTAGACTCTGTAAGTACCTAAGGACTTTTAAACAAAAGCAATACCATATGTACAAAGTAAAAGATGGCAGAAAAGCCGCTACAATCAACAAGACTTCAGTATTTCAAAGTTCAATGTACCCGTGTAAGTTTCCTCAAATGCGCATTCTCTATGGCAAAAGTACAAAAATACAGAGTTATTGCTAAATTTAGTAGTTCAAATAGTAGAAGTCACCATTATGAAAAGTCACTCGTCGATGGCCGTAAAGTCAAAAACTAATCAAAGACCATGATGTCATTTGAAGTTGCTTTAGCTCCATCACCATTAAGACAGCTAGATATCCGTCTATCATGCAATACCTTGGTTACTAAACACCTAGTTTTAATAGTAAGCAAATTTGGCTCTCTGTCACTGTACCTTCG